GGGGATTTGATAGCAGCCTTCAACTTCCTGCAGGGAGGTTCCAAAGAGGATGGAGAAAAGCTGTTCTCAGTAGTGATGGATGGCAGAACAAGGAGCAATGGTCTCAAGTTACAGTGGGGGAGATCGAGGTTGGATATTAGGTAAACTATTTCACTAGGAGGGTGGTGAAGCACTGGAATGGGTTCCCTAGGGAGGTGGTGGAATCTTCATCCCTAGAGGTTTTCAAGTCTCAGCTTGACAAAGCCCTGGCTGGGTTGATTTAGTTGGGATTGGCCCTGCATTGGGCAGGGGGCTGGACTTGATGACCTCCTGAGATCTCTTCCAGCTCTTTGAAGTAGGAATAAGATCCTCCGGAAAAGGGCGCTTTTTCCGGAGGATCGGGGCCAGTGTAGACACTCTTTTCCGGCTTTTCTAAAAGCCGGAAAAAAGCGGCGGACATTTTTATTTAAATGCCGTGGGGGATATTTAAATCCCCCGCGGATTTCCCTATTGCGATCTCTGAAATTAACATGCCCCTTCCGGAAAAGGGGCCAGTGTAGACGTAGCCAGTAGGAATAAGAGAAGCCTAATCTGGCAAATAACACAGCAAATATGCACCCATTTGCTCTCACACTTTACAGTTTCCATGGCGAAGAGATATCTTAATTGTTAGATTTAAGCAACATTGCCTGCTGCAAGTAGAATATATTGAAGCATCCTGATGTTTCATTATAGGCCCACTACTTCTTGCAAATCAGTTTTACTCAAATTAACTTAATGTAAACCAGTCTTGCAAGTTCCATCTTGGGCTCTGCTGCTTCTTTCTGACTGGTACCTGAAGGGTCTGGTACTTTTCTTTACACTCGCATCACTTGTGGAGCGAATAAAGTCTCCGTGAATTGAACTGCCTCTCTCCAGGTCATCATGAAAACTAGTGCTCAAAATTACTGAGATGACATCATAATCACGGGTCTGCTGTGACACCCTATTGTGAATCTAAGTGGGAGACATGGTTCTTTCATCACCATGACATAAAGTTCAGTTCCTGCCAGAGCTCATGAGGCAAGCTGGTAATCTGATCTTCAAAATAAAATGCAGCATGATTTGTTCATCCTGCATTTCCTGCTCATGGTTGTTTCTTTCCTCTATTACAGGTTTGCAGAATACAGGAGGTTACTCAGGCTCCTGGCCACGGGGGTGGGGTGGGAGGATTAGGGAATAAATCAGCTGCAAAGTAAAAGGTGAACACGCCCCAGCCAGACACTGAATCATTAAGCAGTGAAAATAAATCTTATTCTTTGCAGGCACCATGCGTAAGAGGTTGAATGCGAGATCTGGCTTGATTTGCTCAGTGAGTTGCTGGAGTGAAGGAGGAAATGGGCTTTTTGCCCATTTTGGGGACAGGGCAGAGTTTCTATCCTAACAAATGAGGCAATACATGACAGCTGAGCCAGAGTGCAGCCCATTCAGGGTGAAACACCATCTCTGATCCCAGCAACCCTGCAGTTCCCTTAAAAGGGAGAATTTGATGTTGGACAGATGGGAGCCTGAAAAGCCATAAATTCCATTGAAGGAGTGTGGCTGCTGTGACGTGAACTGTCTCAAGAAGACCTAACTGGCTTTGACGAGAAGCCCAGCAAATCCATTAATGCTGCTTCAGAGGCAATGTCAGTGATGTACGGGAGGCCTTACAATGGGGTCAGTTAGGCTGTCTCCCCTTTGTGCTGCTCCTTTAGATGGATGCACCACTCTGACCTGCTCAAGTCACCTTCTAAGTCCTGTCTTGGGGCATGTGGAGCTAGTTAAGGTTTGCCAGAGCCAAGGAGGGAGTTCACAGCAGGAAGTTACATCTTTACGATCTCTCCCTGTCTTCTGCTGACAGCACAATATGCCTAGAGCAGGAGTGGGGAACCTTGGGGCCGGATCAGAGCTGGCCCAAGCTATGGGCTGACCGGGCTATTGACCAGGATGCCCCATTGTATGGGGCACCGTGCGGGGCTGCTGCGCATGCACTGGGTGCCCAGGGTGGGGGGCGCGCATGCCCTGGGCCCCTGGGAGTGGGACCACACGTGCCGCGCTCCTGGGGGCGGCGCTGCGCTCCCGGGGCCTTGGGCACACAAATGGCTCAGGCCAGCCCTGGGCTGGATGTAGACCCTGGCTTGCCTGGATCCAGCCCCTCAGTATCAGAGGCCCCTCCCGCCCCAGCATTTGGGAGCCCTCACTGGAGCTCCAGCCCCACTGCGGAACTGGAGCTGCTGCCCCACTGCGGAACTGGAGCACACAAAATCTAAAAGGCTGGGCCGCCCTTGGCTCTGGTGTGCGAAGGGAATATGGGGGGTGTCTTTCTCCTCAGTTGGGGGACTCGTCAGTGAAGGGGTTTTTTTGGTTATGAGTTTTTTGTTCTTTTGCTTCTCACTTGTGTGTGGCCACCCGCCAGATTTTTTGTGGGTCAGCAGCCCCCGACCCAAAAAGAGGTTCTCCACTCCTGGCCTCGAGCAATAGAGCATAGATGTTTTGAGATCTGGGGACTCAGCTAACAGAAGGTTGTTGAACTCGACATCTTAACTTCATCTGATATGCTGTCTGTCCCATGCACCTCCTCTAAGGAGACACTTCAGGTAACGTCTGCCCCCCACCATGTGCTTTTACCCTTGCGAGAACTTTGTTTAGCTACTTTTCTGGGTTCCAAACAATGAGGAATACTGCCACTAGAGCAAAGAACTCTGATTTGTCAGTAGAGCTCTGCAGAGAACAGAAATTCTGTTTCATGGAGGATTTTGAGATCAGATTTCCCATTTTGTTTCTATTCTGAACAAACTCTGAAAAATCTGAAATCCTCTGCAAAAGAAAATATTTAAAAGAGTTTCATTTAGATCAATCAAAATGTTTCCTTTTGATTTTAACTGTATTGTAGTATGACAATACTAACTCTAGTATAGAATACAAAACAGGTTTATACAAATAAAAAGGAAAAGGAAAATGTTTCATTTTGAAAATGTTAAGCTCAGATGTTTCAACACTGTCTGAACTATTCACACGCCTTTTGTTGTCCTAAATGAAATTTCAGCAACATTAATACAATTCCATGAAACACTGCATTGTTAATGGAATTGCATTTTCAGCTGGAAAACTGTTCCAGCCATGTTCTTCTGAACCACTCTACCTGGTAGGTCTTCACCACCACTACCCTCACTCTTGCAAACCTCCCACCATCCCACATCCCCAGCATTCTGCCCTCTCCCCCTATATTCCCAAGACCTTGCCCTGGCTACTGCACCCTCCTCCCCCCATACCACAAGCCCCCTGCCCTGAAGGACTCAGGCAACGCCGGGTAAGTCTTCTAGTAATCTCTAAGGAGAGGAAACTCACAGCTGCACTCCCAGGTAGGGGACCCCTTTCTCCATTCATAATCCTCCTCACCCCAGTGTTGCACTCAGTGGAGTCTGCACTGAGAACAGTTTGCTCCTCCCTTACTCCAGCTGTTGTTAGGAGCAGCAGAAAAATGCTCCAGACATTCCCAGAGTGGTTGATTCTGAGAGCTGATGAACAAAACAGAAATGTTGGTCCCTTCTTTGCTGCCCATCTCAGGACCAGCAGGGATCCAGTGCCCCATGGCCTATGGGGACAGGGATCCAGAGCCAACAGCAGGAACTTTACACAGCGTGTTAACAAGGCAGCTTTCACAGGTAAAGAAATCAGCTATTCTTAAAAGAATTAGTCAATTAGCCCGTTATAAGACGGGATTTTCAGGTCTCTCCTCCACGTCAGTCTTCTCTCCTGAGCAGCCTCCCCCTCCTCCCTCTCTCTCTCAGCTCTCCTCTGCCTCCTGCCTCTCTCTCTGTCTCTCTCTCCCTCTTCTCCTCCCACTCCTGCTTCTCACTTGGGGGACTACGGAGCCCAAATAGCTGTTTGGGCACCATGCTCCCCGTACTGCATGGGGAGCATGGAGCCTACACAGTCACTTGCGTCACTTGCTCCCCTGCGGCAGCCTGGCTGAGCGGCACAGAAGTCACCCGAGCACCACGGACGTGACTCAGGCAACAGCGCCACCCAGAGGGAAAAGCCAGCATTTCAGTGTTACAGAATCACAGACATCGGGCTACTATATATATGATGTCTCTAAAGCAGGCATAGAATCATAGAACATTAGAACTAGAAGGGACCTCAAGAGGTCATCAAGTCCAGTCCCCAATCACTGTCTAGATCATGGGTTCCCAAACTTGGGGATGTGACCCCTTGGGGAGAGTGAAGAAATTCCAGGGGGTGTCTGAGGCAACCCAGCCCATCAATTCCCCTCCCCCCCAAGTTTTTCGGCCCCGGTCAGTTCTTTTTTTTTTTTTTTTGCTCAATAAGTTTTGCTGCTACTTTGGGTGTGTGTGTGTGTGAAGGTTTCTCAAAAATCAAAAAGGGGGCGAGATGCCAAAAAGTTTAGGAACTACTGGTCTAGATCATCCTTGACAAATGTCTGTCTAACCTGCTCTTAAATAATACAGTTCTATTTCCCATCTTCATAATGTGCTTTGATATCTTTTGATGAAATGTGTTTTAAGTGCAGAGCGATAGCACTGTCCTCAACACCAGTGATATTTTTTACATCACAAAAACCAAGCACACAATTTGGTACTTGAGTAGACAATGCCAACTGTCAGATCAGAACAGCGATATCGATACAAAACAGATCGCTATTAACTGGCAGACCCACCTGTGATGTTACATATGTGCAGAGCACAAAGGTGTTATAGCAGATTACGGTGCCTTGGCAGCATGTGTGGGAGGAAGATGTTTTCAGAGTGTCTGCTTGTAGTACAATGGGCTCAAGCTAAAGCCATATGTCCTTCATTTCCCCGAGTGATCCATTTAAAAGGCACCCATATGCAGTTACCACTGATTTATTCATAACCTTTATCTTCAAATACTGCATTAAAATAAAACCATCGAGAACTCACTGAATGGAAGGGGGAAAGGAAGAAAGGAAAGTCTGAACAGTGTGAAAAATAACTTAGTCCCCCTCTAGTCCAAACCTGCAGAATTCAGCCTTTGTGCTGCAGCTCCTGTCTCTTCTGTGCCTCACTGATGAATCATACACTGACCCCACTAAAAGGAAAGAAAAGAGGGAAAGTTTCAAACAGGAATTTGCCCTCACGGGCATAAGAGCATCAGAATGGCCAAAAGTTCATTTACTTCAGTCTGTCTTCTGATAGCGGCTAGTGCCAGGTACCCCAGAGGAATGAACAGTACAGGTACTGTTGTTATTATTTTGAAATAACTAGTGCCAGTCTGAAATAACTTAGTCCACGTCTACACATCAGGCAGTTATTTCGAAATAATGTTGAAATACTGTCAAGCTGGAGGACTTCTTATTCTGACTCCTGTAACCCTCATTGTACGAGGAGTAAGGGATGTTGGAGGAAGGATGCTCTATTTAAAAATAAAATACAGGACTATGTAGCACTTTAAAGACTAACAAGATGGTGTATTAGGTGATGAGCTTTCGTGGGCCAGACCCACTTCCTCAGATCAAATAGTGGAAGAAAATAGTCACAACCATATATACCAAAAGATACAATTAAAAAAAAGTGAACACATATGAAAAGGACAAATCACATTTCAGAACAGAAGGGGGATGCGGGGCGGGGGGGGAGGAAGGTGAATGCCTGTGAGTTAATGATATTAGAGGTGGGGAAGGGTAGATGTCTGTGATTTAATAGTGTTAGAGGTAATAATTAGAGAAGCTATCTTTGTAATGGGGAAGATAGCTGGAGTCTTTGTTCATGCCCCCGCGGAGAGTGTCGAATTTTAGCATGAATGGAGTACTACACCAGACTAACACGGCTACATTTCTATCACTATTTAAAAATAAGTGCTGTGTAGATGCTCCCTATTTCAAAATAGATACGCAACTGACATAGCTCATTTTGCATAGCTTATTTCGAGTTAAGCCCTGGCAGTGCAGACACACCCTTAATCATCAAGTGATCCATTACCTGTTGCTCATCCCCAGTTTCTGACAAAGAGAGGCTAGGGACACCATCCGTGCCCATTCAGCCTTATAGCCATTGATGGACCAACCCTCCATGAATTTATCTAGCTGTTTTTTTTTAACTCTGTTATAGTCTTGGACTTCACAACATCCTCTGATGAGTTCCACAGGTTGACTGTGCATTGTGTGAAGAAATCTTTTCTTTCTTTCTTTCTTTCTTTCTTTCTTTCTTTCTTTCTTTCTTTCTTTCTTTCTTTCTTTCTTTCTTTCTTTCTTTCTTTCTTTCTTTCTTTCTTTCTTTCTTTCTTTCTTTCTTTCTTTCTTTCTTTCTTTCTTTCTTTCTTTCTTTCTTTCTTTCTTTCTTTCTTTCTTTCTTTCTTTCTTTCTTTCTTTCTTTCTTCTGGTGATCTCTAATTCTTGTGTTTTGAGTAAATAGTATTCCTTATTGACTTTCTCTACACCAATCATGATTTTATAGCCAACAATCATATCCCCCTCTTTGTCATCTCTTTTCCAAGCTGAAAAGTCCTAGTCTAATCAATCTTTCCTCATACAGAAACCATTCCATGCCCCCTAATAATTTTTGTTGCCCTTGCTGATCTTTTTCCATTTCCAATGTATTTATTCTGAGATGAGGTGACCACATCTGCACACAATATTCAAGATGTGGGCGTACTATGAATTTATATTGAGGCAATATGATATTTTCTGTCTTATTATATATTCCTTTCTTAATGCTTCCCCAAATTCTGTTAGCTCTGACCGCCCCTGCACATTAAGTGGATGTATTCAGAAAACTATCCACAACAACTCCAAGATTACTTTCTTGAGTGTAACAGCTATTTTAGACCCCATCATTTTATATGTACAGTTGGGATTAAGTTTTCCAATGTGCTTTACTTTGCATTTATCAACATTAAATTTCATCTGCTGTTTTGTTGCCCAATCACCCAGTTATGAGAGATCCTTTAGTAGCTCTTCACAGTCTGCCAGGGTATGTCTACACTACAAAGTTAATTCGAACTAACAGACGTTAGTTCGAATTAACTTTGATAGGCGCTACACTAGCAAACCGCTAGTTCGAACTTAATTCGAACTAGCGGTGCGCTAAATTCAAACTAGGTAAACCTCATTCTACGAGGACTAAGCCTAGTTCGAATTAACTAGTTCGAATTAAGGGCTGTGTAGCCACTTAATTTGAACTAGTGGGAGGCTAGCCCTCCCCAG